TACCAGTTGGGGTGCAGATCGAAAAAGTATGTTAAAATTATACAGAACGTCAATTAGATCAAAATTAGACTATGGTTGCAATGCATATAACTCAGCATCGAATAAAGTTCTGAAAATGCTTGCCTCTGTAAATAACTCTGGTCTCAGTATCGCTACGGGTGCTTTCCGTTCCAGCCCCACTTATAGGCTATGTGTCGAAGCTGACGAGCCTCCAATTGGCATGCGAAGACAACTTGACCTAATTTATTCCGCTAAAATTCTTTCTTTTTCCAACCAGTCTCTAATAGAATTATTTCCTAACAGACAGTATCTAGTTCAGCATCAGATCACTCTATATAAGAGGGCACCTATTACATTTAGTTTCAACATTATTTCACAACCTATACATTGAACCACCTACTTTGCAACAAAATGGAATTTCACCAATTTATCCTTGGAAACTTCCCACACCAAAAATCAATCTTTCTCTCACAAAGTTCCTTAAAATCTACATTTTACCATATACATAAACATGGATTTCTCAAACTACAAGATAGGCTAGGGGATTCTGACTTCATCAACACTGACGGGTCCAAGAGTCCTGCAGGTGTGGGAGCATCGACAACATTTGTTCTCTCGATCGAAAATATGTAGAAGCTATACAGGCGAAATAGTTGCAATTTACAAAAGCCTAAATGTTATCCATTCCACAACAAAGAAAACAGGTTATCTGCGCAGATTCTCTATTAGCATTATTCAGTTTAAGAAATATTTTCACATCTAACTTCATCATCCAAAATATACTGTATTCCTTAAAATCTGCACATGGAAATAATATGTCGGTGTATTTCGTTTGGGTTTCTAGGCACTGCGGAATAGCAGGTAATGAGTTGGCAGATCGAGCGGCCCAAAAAGCGATTATGGAGGGAATTCCTTATCGGGGAGTACCTGTTGAGGATTTTATTTCCATTGTTAAAATGAAAATTTGGTTTAAATGGAAACAGATATGGTCAGGTGTTACTGAAAATAAATTAAGAGAAATTAAAATTGACATTTCATCTTGGTCAACGTCGAACAGAGATAACTCAGAGAAGTGATTCTTACGCGTCCGCGTAGTCACATATGCCTGACCCATGTATACCTGATGCCCCACGAATCTTGTCCTACATGTCAAACCTCACTAACTATAAAACACATTCGGTCAGAATTCCGAGCTTACGAACCAATTAGAATATTCTGTGGCTTGCCAAACGACCTACATACTATTTTAAAAGACAATATGAGTAATGTTGACAAACCCTTTTATTTCCTGAAACTTGTGAAATTGGACCAATTTAATACTTGACGAAATAAGGCGATGATGACACTGGTTGTTGATGCCTTTAAAATATATTTAAAAAAAACATGATACTGACAAAGCAGATCGTATTGCAGGGACTTATGGCGTTCTTTGTGGAGGGACCTTAACAAACACAAAACTAAGAAACGGATGGATAACTTATTTTGTAACAAAGATACTTGAGATGGCAGGAAGTAAAGTAAAATAATTATATAGTGGGGGTGGAGTGGCCGTGTCCAGCAACCTGATATTTGAAGTTAAGAGATGAAAAAATAATTACGAGTTCAAATCCCAGTGCGGGATGGGACTTTGAACTCTGCATAATCCCCCAACCCTCTCTCCCAGCCCGGGAGAGCAAAAAAAAAAGAAGATAATTTTACAGTAACTAGAGGCTAACCTATAAAGCCTCATATTACCATATTTTATTTTTTAAGGTTGGTGTATGTTGGCATGTAGCTTGAATGAAAATATAGCATGTTTAGTATTTCTCTACAATGCATAATAATGGTAATTGATTCCGGGCATATCAAACCAGTAAACCCAAAAAGTTTATAAGTTTGTTATGGTAAGCATAACACACTAAAATTATGGATTAATATTAATTTTTTTTAAACTAATAAAGCTTCAATGTGAAATTTAAGACTAATCAATAAAGGGATTTAAGGAAGGATCTTTTAAATAAGGAAACATGTTTTTTATTTCTAAAGGGATCTTAACACCAAAAAATAACATAATAATAACGAATAAATTGAAATATTTTAGTGTAATTATTTTTTTTTTTTTTGGAATTTATATATATACACACAATACACTTATATATTTCTTCCCTTTTTTATTTTTTTTTTAATCAGTCTTAAGCATCATCATACAATAGGCATGCACACAGAAAATTAAAACTTAATGATAAATTTACAAAGAGGAATGTAATAATGATATGGTATAAACATAATAACAATGAGTAGACATATTAATCATAATAGTCTTTATAAATATATATCACTATAACATGAACATCCAGTGAGGATTATTGAAATACTCTATTATACATTTGTTATGTTTAAAGGAGCCATGTAATTCTAAAACAATTTTTTATTCATCTGTACATGAAAAATTAGCAGTTATAACCCAAATTATTTTCAAATATATTAAAAACATGTTTTTATTTCCCATTGTAATAAATTAAAAGCTAATGAAACTTAAAATAGATTGAATTAGATATTTATAACCTCACCTTATGGAAAACATATTTGCAAAAGACTGAAAATTTCTTAATGATTTTATTTTATTTCTTTATTTTTAAACAAGTTTAATAGTCTTAGAACAATACACTATTAAAAGTGTAGTGGTTAAAATATTTAGTAAACTGTGACCAGACTTTTCAATACTTACATTTTATATAATACTATAACCATGCCATGTGGAAAATATTCAGAAAAACTATCATAAATAAACCTCAATTGAACAATTGTATGTGAATAAATTTACTAAGAAAGACCTAACCTAATAGTCTTAGATAAAAGGAAGTTTGAGAACAAATCAATAATCTGAGTTTAATACATTCCAATAATATGCTTTAACTAAAGAAAATTTATTATTACTATTGTTCATCATTGCCATTAGATTTTTTTGTCAAAGGGAAGTCTTATCTTGGTGAAAATGCCATAAATCTATGAAGAATTTCGGATAATAAGGACATAGCATAAACAAGAGATGATGAAACTAGCATCTAGAACTAAAAGTTAGAATTTTACAAAAACCTTACATTTGAATCGTTTCTTAAAAACAGCCAATAAATACAATGAAAATAAAATATCGTTATTTATAACCATTGGCTCAGTCAACTTAAAGGATATTATATACTACCAATACTATTTTACATTTATAATAAAGTAAATGCAGTAATAAAGCTCAAAATATAGGCCATTAATAAGTACTATAATAGGAAAGTCAAGAGAATTCGTATGAAGGTAGGACCATTTGCAACTGTCATTAGCACAGAGGGTTTAAGACAACTTTATCAGAAAGCTATTAAACTGTGAAAAAAATAAAATAAAAAAATAGCAAGCAAACATTAATAATAATTTTCCACTCAGAACATAAAGAAAAAAAATCAACTCTTGAAGGCTTGACATACATTTATAAAATAATATGTGAGCCAACATAATATATTCCAGAAAAAAAATTAATTGCAAAATGCATTTCCTTAAGAAAGAAGTTTTGTAGAGATTTGGAATTATATTAAAATCAACAAGAGGTTATAACGAAAACAGACGTGGACTAACTCCACAAGTTGAATGTCTTTGGAAGGAAATAACAAAACATGAGTGATTTAAAACCTTTGTTTTTTTTAAATGTATCTTTTTATTCAAAATAAGAATGAGGCAAAACAGAAGTAATAACGAGAATAATACCTCATAGACATTTCAAAACAATATTGGTTGGTATACTAAATTCAAAAATTATATTCCTTAATATTTGTTTCAAAACACATAGTTGACCTGAACATTAAATATTCACCATCTCTTGTGATTTATGGAGCTATAATGATTCATGTAAGAACAAAATGTCTGTATTTCTTGAATCCATACAGAAATTCATGCCCATTTATCAATGCTTTAATTGCATTACACTTCAATATAAAAAATGAATACAGTTTTTAAGCTTCTATGATAGGTTATCATATAAGTTATTCAGCCTTTTTTCCTCTAGTAAGGATAATTTCTATATTTTATAATATTTCGTCCTTAGGTTACAAAGGATTTCATTAGAGGCTGATCAGCAACAAAATATTGATTATAACATAAAAGTTTTCTCGTTAAAAGAGTTGCCAGGGCAACACTGTAGGAAGTAGCTTATCATTTATCCACTAGATTTCTCTTAACTTGAGCTATAGTTTTCAAGGTAGGATTTTGCAGTAAATATCAACTGTTCACCTGAGAAAAACCTTGATGGAGAAATAATTAATTGCTTGCTGCAGTATTGGTCAAAGCAATTTTGTTAAACAGAGAAAAATGTATAAGTATAACAAACTGGAGGATAAAATATTATTAGAAAGAAAAAGACAAATAAAAAACAACATAGTAATAGACAAAAAGTGGTTGGTTAAAAAATATTACGATAGCAGCTCATAACAATTATAAATTTTAAAAAGTCCAAAATAATATAAATAGTTTGTTATGAATAAAACTTATTCATTATTAAAACTAAAAAGAACTTTGTTTTTTTAATAATTTAAATAACTCAAATAGACAATGGTATATTAAAACAAATATAAAACATTCCATCCATAAACTTTGACAAGTGATCTAACATTTTATGTTATCATCATTAATAAAAGGTTTTTTTTTATTCATTTGTAAGAATAATAAATATATATTCATAAAATTATCAAAAAAAAAATGTGCAAAATTTACAAATTGTTTTATCATTATAATATACAATAATTTACAGAACAGATAGGCAACATAAATATATATATAATCATGTAAAGAGGAATAACAATGAATGACTTTTTATACAAGAAATAAACTACAATAAGGATATAAATAAATATTGCTTCCTTGAAATAAATAAAAATCAAAAACAACAAGACAGAATAGTTTCTTTAATGAATAACTGAAGTGAATTACTGATTGATAACTAACTGAATGACTGAAAGTAGAACTAGATCACAATAATGGAACTAACTTAAAAGATTAGGTAAACTGTCTGATTTACTAAATTTTGTATCTTTTAATTCATCTTCACTGTTAGTTTTTTTATCATTAGAATCTGCAAGGATTTCAGTGCTTTTGTATTTGGCATTTGCATTATTTACATTGGACTGGCTGGAAGCTCCAGGAGAAAAAGGATCATTATCAGGAAAAACAGTATTTGATTTTTTATCAGCTGCTTCAAGAAATGGATCTTCTATATTAAAGATATCTTCATATCTGTAGTCCTTAAATGGATCTTCTGTGAATTCAAGTTGTGGACCCTGTAGGGTGAAAAACTAAAAACAATTTAGGGAAGGGGAAATAAATTAAAAATTAAGGCTTTAAACATAAAAATAAATGGGATCAAAATAAAATTAAAAGGTTAGGAGGAAAAGAAAGAAAAATATACACATCAATTAGTTTCATTTTTAAATTTGGAATAATTTAAAGTAAAATTACAATTACAAAAATAAAACTAAACCAAAAACATTAATCCAACCATACATTGATTACCAATTAAATGTTTTAATAAGTGAAGATCAATAAAAAAAAAATATAAAGTCAAGCCTGGATACAAGTGCCATGCAATTAGAAAACATAATTTTATTAATATCAATACTAACATCACCATTAGACAATTTTTTATCAATACAGCTAAGAGCTTTTACACTATTATAAGATATTCATTTCTTTATAAACATAATCTTCCCTAAATGAAAAAGATAAATCATTTGGTCTTAAGTAGGCAATTTTGTACTTTTTATAAGAACAATATAACAATATATTTTTATAGGTCCTTAAAAATAGGGAGTATTTTAATATAATAAGGAACTTTCTTCTAAAATTAATACTAAGTTATTCAGAACAATGACTTTTAATTTATATATGTCATTCTTCTGATATAATTCTAAGCTGGTTCCCCTTTTTCTTAGTACAGTAACCATGTGATGAAAAGGGGGTCTTAGTTGCATCAAGTGGAAGTAGAGGGTTTGGTTTTGAATGTGACTTTGAAGCAAAATCCAAGTTTTCGACCTTGGCAGCCCCCTCCTGCATCACTTTTGAATATCCCTAAAACTGCTAAATGTTTGTAATATTATAGGTTTTTCGCTATTTGGCCATGAAGGGATATGTTTTCGCGAAAATATTATAAGTTTTTAAACTAGATTAAATTTACTACAATTTGAGAATAGAATAACCTCAGTAAACATAATAGGGTTCGAACAACAGATTTTCAGAACTTGGCAAATTTTTCAGACTCGAAAATTTTAAGCTATAATGATTTTTATGTTTTATCAAACACCATTGTTTTTACATTTTTAATAACCCTAAAATGTCTGATACAAGAGAGTGAAATAAACATTTCGTCACATTTATTTTTACAAATTTAAATTAGGACGCAGCGCTGCATAAACTGCTTGTAATATTAATGAAGTGTGGAGCCAGTGAACTATTAACAAATGTATTGTGCAGTATTGGTTCCAGAAGTGTTGAAGTAGAGATACAGACTTGGAAGACATGGAAGTTCATGGTCACCAATCTACAGTTGCCAACAACCAGCTGAGGTCAATAGTGAAAGAAAATCGAACCAAAACCACACAAGAAATGATGGTAAAACTTGGCATGAACCAATACACCATAGTGAATTACTTGGAGGCAATTAGTAAGACAAAAAAGTTGGCCAAGTGAGAGCAAAACCAATTAAACGATCACCAAAAAAATCGCCGCTTTGAAAACTGTTCCATGCTTTTGACACACAATAAAAATGATCCATTTCTCGATCGCATAGCTATGAGATGAAAAATGGATTTTATATGACAACAGATGTCATCACTGGATGGACAAAGATAAACAGCCAAGCCATTTTCTGAAGCCCGTTCTGCACCCAAAAAAAGCTATGGTCACGGTTTGGTGGTCTACTTTCGATGTTATCCACAACTGCTTCCTCAATTGTGTCAAGACTCATCATTGCTGCACCCTCAAAAAATTATAACTTACAATTTTTAAGTTTGAAAAAATTTATCAATTTAGAAAATCTCTAGTTCGAAACCTATTAGGTTTACACATACTTTTAGAGTGTAGTAGCTACTCTGCTTAAAGGAAAAACTTAGAAATTGGAACAAAAATAGAAAAAATCCTCCAAGATGAGAAAAAAGAAATAGAGAAACTGTTCAAATATTTCAAAGAAATGGAGTTTTATCAGATAATATAAAATTGAAATAATACGCCAATCATTGACCCATAAGAGTAGAGGAAAAATAAATAAATAGAGTATAAAACAAAATAGTAAGGCAAATATTTAGGTATAAGAAATAAACAGGAATATATAATATCAATTAACAGTGTGAAAATGATCAATGTAGATAAAAGTGGAAATTATCTATCACATAAAATAAAATATATATTGAAGGTAAAATATAAAAGGCAAAACAATAACAATAAGCGACTAACCTATTGAAAAGATTCAGTATTGTTATTGTAGCAATGAAGGAAGAAAATGAGACAAGAGAGCATAGTAATTAATGCTCAATTTAATCAGAGAAAAATAAATTAATAACTGGAAGGGGAAGGAAGTAATGTTATTTACCCATGATAAATAGTTTTATATTATTATAATTACGAACGACACACATACAAAGATTTAATTGCTACAGCTAGCTATCAGCAATTGCATAATATTATTAAAGACATATAATAAGTTTAAAGGAAGGTAACCTTTATCAAATAAGATTGTAGAGAAAGACATTGTTAATATCCAAATTATCCAGGTTTGACTTTAGAGCAATTATGTCACATCAAATAAATAACAGCAACATTTGCATATTAAATATTATTAGCTTTGGTTTTTTTTTTTTTTGGATTCCATATTTTGCTAAAATAAGTGAATAATGTAAATATCATGAAGAATGGTAACAAATACATGGCTGACAATTAAGTAAACATAATATTACTATAAATTTACGATAAGTACAAAATTATTCATATTGTGTGAGTTTTCTGTGCCTTTTAGGGTGGAAATTCACAAGAATTCTTCAACTTAACAACTGTAATCAACCTTAACAAATGTTAATAATTTTTTTATTTCAAAATTATTTTCTTTCTAAAATTTGTTTTACATCGAAAATGATACTCGAATACTTATTTGCACTATTTGATTTATTAAAACACTAAAATGGGAGGATACAGTCACAGAGAGGATGTGGGTCATAGATTTCAAGCAAATTTTGTTTTGGTGATCTATCAAAATATATTAGATACGTGTTCCGACGTTCTTTCCAATGGGCCCTAGGAGCCGGGAAAAAAATGTTTATATAATTTCAAACAAAATTTATTTTGGGTAATTCTTATTATTGTTTAAATTTCTCTTTCTTTATGATTTAGGTTTATCATAATTTATTATTGGTATGGAGATAGTTGACCATGGGTTCTAATTTCAGAAGAAAATGATGGGGTGCGGTCAAAAAATACTATATTATATAATAGTAAATTTATTGCTTTGTCCTATGTTTTGACCTACATTGCAGGTCTTCTTCAGGGCTATATAAGATACAAACAATAATTAGTTATTTAATTATATATGAACAATATATATTAATTATAGAAAGTTAAAGTATGTAAAGATGACTATTGACATTCAGTTCAACTTGGAAAGGTAATGGATTATTAGGATATCTGGAGCATATTAAGGGTAATAGATAGTAGGTATCTTAAGAATAAAATAATATCTCTAATAAAGTAATATCTCTCAATAAATATGTTTATATATAATGTTACTTTTCATGTCACGTACGTGGCATATTATCTTTAGTATTAGTATATATTATTCAATTTTATTTACCGGCTTCTTTCCTAATTTAATTTCCGATAGATCATATTCTCTGAAAGACCTTTGAATTTTACTAGTTAATTATTTAACATATGTTACTGAATGATATTTAGTGTTACACTGTTCAAAACTATTTTCAAATTGTTAGGCATTAGGTAAATTCCCCTGGGTTCCTTTCTACCTGTCAGTTGCTAGACCCTCATTGTTACCTGACTGATATCAGACAGCCAGTCGCCATACTGCCTTCAGCAGTGTCAGACAGAATGGTATGTTTTGACTTTTATTATTATTTTTATTCTTAATATACATACTACCTATTACTCTTATTATACTCCAGATATCCTAATAATCCATTAGCTTTCCAAATTGAACTGAATTTCAATAGCCATCTCCATGTACTGTAACTTTCTATAATTAATATATATACATATATAAAAAAAAAAGAAATTGTACCCCTAACAACCCATGAAGTGTTATGGGTTCAGTACAATGTGAGGAAGTACTGTTACAAGGCCAACGGTTGTGCAGACAGGTGATGGGTCAATATCACGTTCAAATGGCAGGTTTGCCCAAGGAGAATCTCCTGGTCCAAGTCAACATTATTATACAATAATTAGTTAATCTACTGATATTTTTTGTACATTTATACTTTACATCAATTATTATACTTTTTTAAATGCCTATCATGTACATAAACTTTATACATATAAACTTAATTGTTACCTTAATTGATTTCTCCACTAAATCTCTATAAACAATGCCATTTTCATTTTTGGAGAACAATCAAAAAGTCCTAATATTTTAGAATTTCTCCTACGTGATCTCTGGAGGAACCAACTTATATCGTCCTGGTGGGGATGGTAAAAGGGAGAGGGTTTTTTATTCTATTATTTTGTAATGGTTTATTATTGTATCTAAATTATGGTTCGAATTTTGTTTTTAAATTAAATTGTTTTAGAAATTATCTTGTATCGGTTTCACCGAAATATGTATACATAATATATTGTAAAATTGTAGTTGTATGTATTAGTATATTGTAGTATTTATATTGTTTGTGCTGTGTAATATGAAAAGGAATTTGTATATAATTTGTATGTTAAAAAAAAAAAAGGATTGGTGAGTATGCTGTGTATCGAGCAACTCTATATAGTAGGGCAGCACTGCTTTAAATAAAGTATCATGCAAATATTGTTGCAAAATTTGATGATCTACAACTTTGATTTTATGGGTTTTTCCTCTTAGGGAACTCATTTCCAAGTTGCAGGGTCATTTATAGTAATTTGTTTTTGAAAAATTTGGTAAAAATCAGCATTGGTTGACCGTGGTTTTATACCTTACTACATAACCAACTTCTACAATTTAACGTTCTTTAATTTATTAAAGAGTATATCCTTCGCTTTGATGCATCGTTTAGGAGTTATAGGTGAAAACCAAAAAAATATCGAAAAAATCTGACTTTTTTGTCTGTAAAAAGTTTTCCCTTGGTGGCTTGCGTTAGCAATTTTGTTTTATACATGTCTAATTCCATGTATACAAGTTAAAATAAAAACTTTTCTCATATTTTTAGCAATGGATTTCCCGTTTATCCTCAAATTACCAGCATAATATTCTTTAAATCATCCGCCATTTTTGAAAACAATGGCTCTGGAACAGCAGACAAGGTTCTTTTTGCTCAGAATAACATACACTTTCGTAATTTACAATCAAACCTTCGCCTGTGATGAGGTTGATTTTTGGACCCTGGCTCCAGGGCTATGTGCAATAGTTCTGTAGATTACATCAGATAATATTATTTTGAGTTTTGTATGTTCAAAAAGTTAATAAATATACACATTTGATTGAAAAGAAAAGGCAAAAGCAACAATTGATTTGCAATTTATACTCTCACATTTTTATTGGAGAAACTGCCATGATATTTATAAAATAAAATTAATAAATAAAAATCATATACCTTGCTGTTAAAGTTAGAGAAATCTGCAAAGGAATCAGATGTTTGACTATGGGAAGGAGGAACAGAAGGTCTAGGTGGAGCAGGCCTTGGTGGTGGCTGCTTATTTTTTGGTGGCAGTGCTGGTGCCGGAGCACCAAAAGGTTCACAACCAAATGGATCCTGGTTGCTCTGAAAACAAAAAAAAAAATCTACATGTATACAGATGTATTTAGATTAATAGATTATGAAATCATAATGAAAAAATATTTGTTTTCATTTCTGAGCTGAAATCCAAATATGTATTAAACGGGTGTGGGAACATAAGTTTTATGATATCCCATACAATATTATGAAGAATGGAAATATAAATTTCTACACTTAAGAAATAATATAGCTATTCAAACATTCATAAAAATAAAAATCATTCACAAGATGAAAAAGAACTTTTCAGTCTCAACTAAATCAATAATCATCAAAGTATAATGTAAAAATACTACTTACTTCATCATTAGATTTTTCTGATTGATGAAGTTTCTTTCCTTCAAAAGGATCAAATGGGTCTTGACGATCTAAAATAACAGCATTAATCGTAACAGGAATCAGTAAACAAATTTTCTAAATTAATACTCAGTTAAACATTGTCTAATATAAAATACAATGATTCAATTCAAAATACAAACATCAAACTACATATTAACAAGTAATTAGAAAACATTCCAGTTGTTTCTCCCATCCCATTAAAGGGAATGCTAAGAATCCTTTAATATTATTTCTGACATAACAGAAAATAAATCAGTAGCCAGCAAGGATTGGAAATTAAGCAGAGGAGTTGGAGATCCAGTTCTGAAAAATATTTGCAAATTCATACTCTTGTTGTGTACTAATTGTGCATTGTCTCTTTGACGAATCTCTGGATGAGTTGGTATACCTGTTTAGATCATCGGGCTGAGTGTTTTTTTTTAATTAATTTTGTTTATTGTTAAAGCACAAATATACATTACAAATTAAGATGTTGAACCTACAAAATGTTTTCAATTAAACAAGGTGGGAGATGTACTTTCCTACTACAATAGAATTCTAGGGATATACATCATGGAAGGATTGAAAAGGAGGACTCACAATACCTTATCAGGATGATTGTAAGGCAATTTTATGATAGAATCTTGAGATATGATGCATATGCTGGATCGAAAGCCTAAAAGATCACAGGTGGTGTTCTTAAAGGTTCTAATTTAGGATCCTTATGTTGGAAGAAACTATTAAAGCTGACCTTTGCAGTCAATCTTGCAATAATGGTTTGTGGAAAACTCCAGGAGATCACTTACACTGCTAACAAGGCTGTTGTTACTACTTACAATTCACTTCATCCGTCAGCCTCCAGTAGAGACGTGATGGAAAGAATGAGCTTAACTGTTGGAGAGTTTGACATCCATTATCTATCTACCATCTATAATGTATCTTAGAGAGTATATTGTTGCCAGGTTGCGGTCAGATGAACATCTGCACATAGTAAGCATTAAAGAAGCATGAGTGACAAATCCACTGGTTTGAATCAAACCAAATATCAGTGGACACAAACCAAGTCTGGAATGGCTATTGCCTAACATAGCCAGTTTTACACTTTCGTAGGCTGCACATATCATTACTAACACTTATTAGTCTGTGGGCCAGACCCCCTTACCGTGCACGCCCCCCTTCCCCCACATCCCTATAAATTGCATATCGTTGTGTTCCTTGTAACTATTTATTAAAAAAAAGCCAATGTTCCAACCAAAAAAAGTGAACGCACTGCCCCAAAATGGCCTCCAAAGATGGCGAATTGACGACTTTGACTTTAGTTAGTTTTGTGGTCACTGAGAATCAGCATTTGGCTTAATTTCCTTATAGTTGCTCTTTTATTAAAGCTGAATAGTCATAGAATAATAAAACATGAAGAAATATTAAAAAATAGTTGGCTTAGACTACGAAAAACACCAGTAAAGTCAATTTTTTTAACAAAAAAATTTTCAAGTTACAAATCAAGCGTCGTTTGTAATTAAACGGCCTACAATAACGCAAAACGTGCTGAAATAAAACATCTGGAGAATATATTTCTCTTTCTAAAATGCTGATTATTTTTTTAAAAATTTTAAGCAGTTCCGTATAAAATGCACTTATGTGGCAGAAAAGCGGTACTGGCGTGGGTGCCTACAAGCCTCTACCACACCATTCAGTAAACATAAATGGCTTAGTTATAGTGATATAATAATATTATATTGGTTTTATTAACAAACAAATATTATTACTATAATTTAATTGTAAAAAAAAATTAAAATTTTTAAAAAAAGTTTGTATGTTTACTGATTCTTAGAGTTAATTAAAATTTTTATATACTTCCCAGGAAATGAGTCATATTAATACCTGTTTTATAAACTAAAATAATATATAACTAATCTGAACTATATATAATGAATAGCTACCAGGTTCTTTAATAAAACTCATATATCACTAATGAAAAAATTAATTTTTATTTCCTTTATTTTGTGCGGAAATTGGACTATATCATAAATAAATAGGAAATTTTAATATTGAGTGAATTATTCTCTCGGCACAAAGAAAGATAGAAAGGGTGATGCTATAAGTTCTTCTATAAACCAGAACTGATTGTTTTGTTTCACAAAATAAGAAATTGAACCAGAAAATTGGAAAAATACATTAAGTGAACGAGAAAGGAAGTGCCAAAATCTCGGAAACAATAAAAAGGACCAGTATCCATCATATAGATAAATGAATGTATAGTAAACAGATGAACAGAATATTTCAAGATGCTGCTAAAAGGGGGTCAATTGCAGTTTGGATGATATTAAGTGGACGATATAGGTTTATTATGGTGAAAACCACTTTATTTTCGATTGCTGAAGGTGCACATCGGGATTATATTCACTTTGAAGCGGGATATATAGAGGTATATCGAGAAAGTTATAGCTCATAGCTCTCCTTCTGTTTAGTGCATTTGCAAAAGATTTTTTAAGGAATCTAAAAGAAAAACGAGCTTTTCTGAAAGACAATTAGATATTAGCATAATCCAAAGTGTGAGGCACTAAGCAGATAGAGAGCTATTTTTCTTTTTATATGGACTTCTCTATAACCTGCCTTAATTTGAAGACAGTCCCAATTTTCAACTTCTCCTCCATTCAATGTGCAACTTGAGTTTCTCAATCCATATCCCTCTGGCAATCGACCATATTTCTTATTCCAACTAAACAGAAGGAGAGCTATGAGCTATAACTTTCTCGATATACCTCTATATATTCTGCTTTAAAGTGAAGATAGTCCCGATGTGCACCTTCAGCAATCAAAAATAAAGTGGTTTTCACCATAATAAACCTACATCGTCCACTTAATATCATCCAAACTGCAATTGACCCCTTTTAGCAGCATCTTGAAATATTCTGTTCATCTGTCTACTATACATTCATTTAGCTATATAATGGATACTGGTCCTTTTTATCTTTTCCGAGGTTTTGGCACTTCCTTTCTCGTTCACTTAATGTATTTTTCCAATTTTCTGGTTTAATTTCACGTTTTTCCTCATTTTGAGACCAAAAACAAACAATCAGTTCTGGTTTATAGAAGAACTTATAGCGTCACCCTTTTTATCTTTCTTTGTGCAGAGAGAATAATTCATTCAATATTAAAATTTTCTATTTATTTATGATATAGTCCAATTTCCGCACAAAATAAAGGAAATAAAAATTAATTTTTTAATTAGTGATATATGAGTTTTACTAAACAACCCAGTAGCTATTCATTATATATAGTTCAGATTAGGTATATATTATTTTAGTTTATAAAATAGGTATTAATATGACTCATTTCCTGGGAAGTATATACAAATTTTAATTACCTCTAAGAATCAGTAATTATACAAAACACAGTGTTAAATAGCAAATGTTAACTAAAAAAATCTGGTGAGGGCAACACAGAACTTTCACTTACCGCTAAACTTTGAATAGAAATAATTTTTGGCCATATCGGGCTATTATAAAATTTTTGAATTTCACTTTTAACTGAGCTGAAGCTAAAAAATTACAGCTAACAAATCATAAATACCATTAAAATAACCAAAATCCTATTTATTAAATCACCGATTGATTATGGATTGTACGATCCGTTGATCATGTATTGCACGATCAATTGATTATGGATTGTAATAAAATTATTAAACTACAGTAAATATATTTAAGGTTATAAACTTATGCATGAAATGATTTTATATTTTACTTCTTCTTTCACACAAGTACAATGAAATAGTTATTTAAACAATGCCATTGCCTTTATTAGGTGGATCTTAAATATTTCTTTCAAACTTAAAAATATTTTAAAAGGTTGCATTTAGTTAATAAATTTCATTTAATTTCCTTGAAAACATGTGATTTACGTTAAATATTATTAGTTTTCAAAAAATATTATTTATAATTTTTTTGCCAATCTCCGTTTCCTTTACAACTTTCTATATTCGATATTGTTTGTTCTAAAATTCTCCGCTTTCCAACGATATATTATACGTATATCTTCGGACTAGTATTTCCAGAGATTCATTTTCGACCTGGATAGGCATTTTTATTTTTTTCTCCTTTATTCAATTATCAAATTCTTTCAAAAGTTATATTTAGCATTTTTTCATAACTTTTAATAATGAGAGATAATTGATTATTTAAAATAAACCATATTAAAGGTACTTTAGAGGAAGATGCATATGAACATTGGGCATTTAAGCCCTGTAAAGTGACATCAACGGGGATAAGACCTAAATGATATTAAAGACCACTTAATTATACAATGATACACTGAGTTTAATCAAAATCGTTAGAGCCATTTTTGAGAAAATTTTAAAAATGTGTTTCAGCGTTCATATAAAGTGGCACTTCCGGTTAGCCGATTTTAACGAAAAAGTTACTGTCACATCCGGCCCATATACAAACCTTAAATACTTAATATCAGTTTCGTACTACTTTTCGTTTATGAGCTAGACTGTTAACACATACACACACACACACACACACAGACCATTTTGGGACACTTAGTTATTTGGACTCAGGGGACCTCAAAACACGTATTTCCGTTGAAAACTGAGATTCGAAAATTTTCACGATCGCAATACTTACACTTACTATATATTTCATATATACGTAAGTGAAAGTAAAAAACATCAATATATTTAGCAAAGTATTTTTTAATTAAGTTTTATTATTATAATTATATCATTTTTACAATTACATACATTACATACAGGTCTTCTTAAATGACCTGCGTATAGAATAAAGGAGGTTAAATTAAAAAAATAATAATAATAAATTTTTTTTTTAATTTTAATTTTTTTTTTTTTTACAATTAAATTATAGTTATAATATCTGTTTGTTAATAAAACTAATATAATGTACCAAAAATGTTATTATATCACTATAACTAAGCCATTTATGTTTACTGAATGGTGTGGTAGAGGCCTGTAGGCACCCACGCCAGTACCGCTTTTCTGCCGCATAAATGCATTTTCTACGGAACTGCTTAAATTATAAAAAAAATAATCAGCGTTTTAGAAAGAGAAATATACTCTCCAGATGTTTTATTTCAGCACGTTTTGCGATATTGTAGGCCGTTTAATTACAAACAACGTTTGATTTGTAACTTCAAAATTTCTTTGTTAAAAAAATTGACTTTACTGGTGTTTTTTCGTAGCCTAAGCCAATTATTTTTTAATATTTCTTCATGTTTTATTATTCTGTGACTATTCAGCTTTAATATAAGACCAACTATGAGGAAATTAAGCCAAATGCTGATTCTCAGTGACCAAAAAACTAACTAAAGTCAAAGTCGCCAATCTGCCATATTTGGAGGCCATTTTGTGGCAGAGTGTTCACTTTTTTTTGTGGGAACACTGGCTTTTTTTTAATAAATAGTTACAAGGAACACAACGATATACAATTTATAGAGATGTGGGGGGAGGGGGCGTGCACGGTAAGGGGGTCTGGCCCACCGTGTATATATAATGCTGTCATAAGCACGTAAGGCTATCAGCAGGGCCTGTATTTTTATTTTATTTTTTTAGATTTTTATAGGTAATTTTCCAGTATCTGTCTCATTGTAAAAATGTGATCGATGCACAATCTTCCTGCGGTAAAGCCACTTTGGTCTTCTGTACCTTCATATTCCCTTTCTAACCTACTTTTGACAATTCTTCCCAAGAGTTTCATAAAAGGATTGGCGACACAGATACCTCTATTAGATTTATTCTGTGGGATATTTCTGGTTGGACTTTTCCATTTCTGCTGATCACAGTTCCAAGGTAGGAGAACTCATTTATGACTTCAAGCTCCTCATTTTATGTATTTGATTGGGCTCTCATCCTACTTGTAGGATTTTGCTTTTTCTGGCATTAATATTCATGCCCTTCTTTCCCCGTTCTGCTTCCCACTCTACTAGGGCTTAGTGGAGGTTATTTGTAGAATCAGCGAAGAGGAGAATGCCATCGGCATATACTATTACATTGGAACATGAGAACCATACTGGCACAAGTAATAGTATATGCCGATGGCATTCTCATCTTGCTGTTCTCCTCTTACAAATTTTTATTATTTCATCAATAAAGATGATAAACACGAGAGGACTCAGACTGTCTCCCTGCTTCTTTTTTCTATCAGGAAGCCCTTCGACTCCATACCATTAATTCTCATAATGTCCTTTACTGCTTGGTATGTTGATTGTATTGTGAGTAGCAAACCATTCGGCACGTTCTTTGCTCTCAGGGCTTTCCTTAATTCTTCTCTGGGGAAGCTGATGAGGTGAAAGAAATGAAATTGAGGTGCTTAAGATATACAGGGCATATTGCCAGGATGGCAGTTAGAGAATTGCAGAAAATATTGCCGAACATAGCCAATCCAAAGAACAAGGAAAAGAGGGAGACCAAAACTGAGGAGGTCAAATGGTGTGGCAGGAGATGCTCAAAATATACTGGAAGTTAGGAACTGGATGGTGTTGGCACAAGACCACAAGGATTGGAAGAAAAGGTTGGAGGAGGCTAAGACCTGTAACAGGGTTATAGTGCTAAATGCTTCATGCGTTGTAGTGGTAAAGGATTTTTAAGATATTTCAAAGATGTTTTTTTTTACCAATGTTAATTAAGTTTTCTAAAAGAATAGGATAACAAATTATTTGAGTCATCAATGTTGAAATTTATGATAGTATACTTTAGTTTACTTACTTGAATGGGTGTCAAATGAACTAAATGGGTCACTGTCAAATCCCTAAAAATTAAAATAATGAATTACAAAAATGTTTATAGTATTAATAAATAAAATTAAGCAATAACACAACCACTATTAATTTTTCCATTTTAAATAGAAAAACTTGAGCTTTGTAATAATTGAATACAACTACTTTAGCTGAAAAACACTGCCAGAATTCATTGAGACAGAATTTCGTATCAACAATTTTTTTTACAAAACTGAAGGCAATTCTCAACTTATTGATCAACAGATCTCAATTTAATTAACATACTGGTACTTTAGAGGAGAAAATGTTTTACATCTCATAACATTTTTACAATACAGGAAACAAATATCACTTATTTTATTTAAAAAATCAACTTAATTAATATAACTTAAAAATCATTAATTAAGCAAAAAAGTCATGGACTCGCAGGCCGGTTTGAAGGTACTTGGGGAACTGACCGCCAGGCAGGATGGAAGGTCACAATTTTCAGGTTTCTACTTATACCTCAAAAAATAGTGGGTCACAGGGAAAATCTGTCTCATAATAAATGAAAGTTTATAAAATTATCTAAAACTTTTATTCTATAGGTTTTCAAGCAACGCACTCAGAAAAAGTTGACATTTTACCTCAATTCATGAAATTCATTTAAAATAAGTTGTAGAGGCTTAAATTCCCATTTAGAATATATATCATCATCATTATCCCAGCTCGACAATCCATTACTGGATCTTGGCTGCCTCAAGAGTTTTCCTCCATATTTCCCTGTCCTGACCAGCCATCCACTAGTTCCTGATTCCAAGGATTCTGGAATCAGCACTTACTCCATCTCAGTTTTGGTCTGCCCACTTTTCTTCTTCCACCCGGCTCCATGCTGATCAGCCTCTTTGGGGTTGAGGTCTCATCCATTCGTAAAATATCTAAGAGTTCCTATCTGGATATATTTCACCACACTCAGCTCCTTGTATAAGTTGGCTTGTTATTAGTTGCGATCTTATTCTCCATTCATTATTCTTTTTAACTGGGCCAAATATCTTTCGAAGGATCCTCACTTTGAAAACTAATATTTTACTCTCAGTATAATATTTTACTCAGTATCTATGTTTCACAAACGTATGTCAAAACTGATTGTATAAGGACTTTGTACAGAAGAACTTGAGAAATTGATCATAGTAGTGAACGGCTTTTCATGTACTTCAGGAGGCCATAATAACATCTATTTGTAGCAACAAATTTTCGCTTTACCTCCGGTGTCATATCATTATCCACAATCAGTACTGATCCTAAATATTTGAACCTATGAACTTTTTCAAATTTGTATCTACCAACTTGGATGATTGGATCAGTATGATGCCTGTCAGTTGCCATATACTTAGTCTTTTCTTCATTGACCTCAAGTCCCATCTAACTGCTGACTCTAGCGAGCTGTAAGCATCCGTCATAGCTGTCAAGAATCTCCCAATAATAGATTGGCATAAGCTTAAGTGCTTTTTGTAAATATAGTGCCTGTTTTTTGTATCCTAGCATCTCTCACTACACTTTGTACATTTAGATTGAAGAGAGTGCATGCTAGAGTATCACCTTGTCTCAAACCTTGTTCGCAATAGAACTTGTTAGATAAATTTCCTTGCGCTCTTACATGGCAGCTGGTGTCAGTCATAGTTGTCCTGACTAATCTAATTATCTTTGGTGGGATTTCAACTTAGAATATAAATATATATATATATATATATATATATATATATATAAAATAGCTGTGCTGTAATATATATATATATATACTACAGCACAGCTATTTTAAAGTTTTTTGTAAAATGTTGCCATTTTCAGAAAAAGTTGTTTTTATCATATTCTTGAACCACAACTTTTGTTCATTTGTCTAATAATGTGTGTCCACACATTAAATCAAATTATTAAATATAAAGTAGAAAAAAATCATGTTACTTGAAAAAATTTAATATTGTATTTTACAGATAATAAAAATCTCATGGTAATTTCGTTCTATTTTGTTACATAAAAAGTATAAAACTCATTGTTATCAATAACTTCTTAATATTACACTCACAAATTAATATGGATTCACATTTTCATCCTCTTTGGACATGAAGGTCCCTGGCACGGGTTGTTCGTTCATTACATCTTCACCCTCAGTAGAGATGCATGGTGAGCCAGACCCCCTACCTTGAACTCCCCCTACATTCCTATAAATCTTATATTTTTGTGTTCCTTGCGACTATTTATTAAAAAAAAGGCAATGGCCTCACAAAAAAAAGGTGCCCAAATGTGGCGGATTGACAACTTTGATTTGGATTAGTTTATCAGTCACTGAGATTCAGCATTTTGTTTAATTTCATCATAATTGGAATTTTATTAAAGTTGAATAGTCAGAGAATAATAAAACGTTAAAAAATAATTGGTTTAGGCAATAAAAACATAGCTAAAGTCAATTTGTTCCAACTAAAGTTGAAAATCAAGCGCTGTTTGTAAATAAACGGCCAACTATATTGATAAATGCCTTAAAATAAAACATCTGGGCAATACATTTCTTTTTTTAAACCAGGGATTAATTTTTAAAATATTTGAAATTATGGTTAATTAACAGTGGTAAATTAAGCTTTGTTATTATAATTATATAGCCCTATAACTATGCCATTTATGAGTACTGAATGATGTGGTAAAGGACAGTAGACAGTAGACAAACGAACAAAAGTTGTGAGTCAAGAATATGATAAAGAATATGATGATGGAATACCAGTCAAACTGTTTTATGCCTTCCCGAAGTCGTTCTAGTTCTCCTTTTCATCTATAATTTTTCCCTCCAGAACTCAGTTTTTCCAAGCAGTTGGAAAAGCATTAGTCAGACCTATCAACAAAATTCCCAATCCTACCTCTCCTAAAGACTACCGCCCAATCTCCATTCTTTCTAACCTTTCTAAACCTCTGGAAAGAATAGCTCAATCCCAAATCTCTAAATTCCTTGAAAACTCAAAACTACTCGATCTTCTCCAATCTGGTTTCCGACCTGGCTTCTCCACACAATCCGCCCTACTAAAAATTACCAATGACTTACATACCGCAATAGACGAAAAAATGTTAACTGTGTTAATACTTCTCGACTTTTCCAAAGCTTTTGACTCCTTAGACCACTCTATACTCTATACTAAATTAAAATCTCTATCCTTATCCAACAGCTCTATCCTCTGGTTGCAGTCTTTCCTATCCGACAGAACTCAAGCAGTCAGCATTCCAAACCAACCCCTATCTTCCTGTCCTCTGGAGTGGCCCAGGGTTCGAGCATTTCCCCTCTCCTTTTTAATTCTTACATAAATGATCTTTCCAAATCCATCTACCACTGTTCACATCATTTATACGCTGATGACACCCAAATCTATTTTTCCTTTCATCCTTCTGAGATACTAGTCGCGTTCGCCGATATTCAGGCAGACCTAAATAGGATCAGTGCCTGGGCAAGTCTGAATAATTTAAATCTAAACGCGATGAAAACTCAGGCCATTATTATAGGTTCCAGTTCTATTCTTAAATCCATCTCCTTCCTTCCTCCTTTAGTCATCAACGATCATCCTGTCACATTCAGTTCCTGGGTTAAAAATCTAGGAATCACCATAGGCAAAAACCTCTCCTGGAAACCCCATATCGCCCTCATCTCCCGTAAGTCAATAGGTACCCTTAAGCTATTTCATCGATCCCGCCACCTACTCCCACAACCCATCCGCAAGCTCCTTGTATCCTCTCTCATTTTCCCCTAGTTTGACTACAGCTGTGTGGTGTACGGAGGCATCCCGATGGTACTCGAGGATAGATTGAAGCGACTCATGAATAACGTGCTTAAGATTTGTCTTCGGTACATCGAGTGTGTCCCACCTTCCTTCTCACATCCCAAAATGACGTTATACAATCAAATAAATATTGCGAAACAGATTTTGACTGAGGTGAATGGTTGATAAAATTGATTGTTTTAATTTTAAAAACCAACCCATGCTTATTTTATTTTGTTTTCTTTTCATTTAAATAATGTTTGTTTTTTTTTATTTCGTTTTTTCTCAAAATTTTATTTTATTTTTACTTGTTTTAATTTAATTTCACTGAAGATACTGTATATATTCTTTAATATTGATTAATGTAATTTTTGGCCAGATGCAGTTTTTATTTTTTTTGTTCATATCTGTTATTCATAAGGGACCTTGTCCCAGAATAAAGTTTACTTTCTATCTACCTAAAAATAACTTTTTCTGAAAATTACAACATTTTATGAAAAACTTAAATAGCTGTAACTGTAGACTGGTTGGAGATTAATTTGCATACGTATTTATATTCTAATAGGGAATTTAAGTCTCTACAACTTCTTTTAGATGAATTTCTTTCGCTAATGAATAGTTTAGACGATAAGAAGGAATGTTTGATGAACAAAGTTTTTTTTTAAAATGCCATATTTTTGTGAGGATGTAGCTTGAAAACAGTTGAGAGTTTGGGAAAAACCTATATAATAAAAGTTTTAGATAATTTTATAAAATTTCATTTATTATTAGATATGTTTCTCCTGTGACGCACTGTTTTGAGGTAAAAGTGGATACCTGAAAATTTTAACCTTTCCTCTCCCTCCCGGCTCACCACCTAGACGTCAGGACTTTTGATAGGTTCAAACCCTAAGCACCCAGAACAAGTTTCTGAAGGAATTGTTTAGGTCCCTGCTCACGAACTCTCCACCCTCTTTTGGGCCATTCATTGATTGGACTACCTTTATTTTCAATATTTTGATCATCTTCAGGAGATTTATACAATTATAAGATATTTCTTGAATAAAATTACCAAGCTGGTATACAAAGGGGGCGACAAAAAATTTGGGCCTTGAAATCCTGCCATGGATGAGTCAAAAAGATATTAACACGTTAATTGCTGAGCTTATCACTTCAATTTCTTTCCTAACGATATCGGTCCCCGGCGACCGACACTAGTTATGAAGTTCCTAACGGTATCGGATGCCAGAGACATGCATCAGTTTCGAGATATACCGCTA